GTTTAAAATGTAGGCTGCAGTTAAAATGTAAAATGTTCACTTAATATGACCTTTTTTGTTGAACTGTTGTAAAAATGGTCACATTTGCCATTGTTTGGCTATTCAGGGAAATTTGCATTCTTGCTCGTAAACATAAAAACAATAACTCGCACAGGGTATGTGTCTGTATCGAAGAGAGTTTAAATCGATCTCAATGTACAGTGCGTGTCAATATTTGCTCTTCATGCTATTAAGTGAAGAGCCTAGAAACGGCCCTGATTGTATTGTATTGTAGTGTATTGTAGGAGCTAGACGACATATGATGACGTGTGACATATAGTAGTGGTGTCCCAATTCTTAGGGGAATATTTTCACCCCTACCCCACCAAGGGGAAGGGGTATAAAATAGAATTGGGATTGGGCCTTAATGTATTCCTCTTATCGGCAAGACATATCGGCATAATTTTTCATATCGGGCCGATGCCGATATTTACATTTAAAGCCATTATCGGCCGATTCCGATATCGGCCCGATATTATCATGCATCCCTACCTCACTTTAAAAATAAAGATTTTTTACCAGCATATATAAATGGCCTGGCTACTTGGTTCACCAATAGTTATTTTTCTTTTCTGTCTGCACTAATTGACACCCAGAAGGTTATTTTTTTTATTTATTTTTTTTTTTTTGACACTTTATTTATTTTTTTGACAGCTAGATATTGTCAGTGCAAATGACCTGCTGATGACATTTCACTCATTTACTCGTTTCCTGAGATCCTAGAAATATCAATGAAAAATCTTTGGTTTTGAAAAAGTTTTGCACTAATTTTTCAAGTAAACTTCAGACATTAAATTAAGCCATGGAATAAAAATTTCATTTAACAGAGTTAATCAGTATGACTAAAATCCACTCATGGGTCATTGCGTGTCAACTCAACGAGAGGTCCCTGGCTCAAATTTTTGATTTTGCTATTTATTGGTATGTTTAAATTGGTATTTAAACATACCAATGTACAATTGAATTTAATTTAAAACAGCATAAATGAAAGACAGTACAACGAATAGTACCATAATCAACAATTCAGGTGACTCGGTGCCAATGTGAGTTTGTCACAGAATCTGTCATATAGGGTCATTGCCATGTTCACTTTATTTTCTAAATTAACTACGTTGTTCTTTCTCAAGAAATGTACAAAGCAGCCCTATTTGTGTTTAATTTCTTTACAGTTTATATGATATCAATATTTTTTGCATCATAGTTATTTGGTAATTGGGGTAGAAAATGTGATTAATTGCCATGAAAAATGTCAAAATGCAAAATCTTTTCGGCGTGAAATGCAACCAGGACATGTTTAGGGGTGTAACAATGTGTCAATACATCATATTGTTACAGACCTCTCGTTAGACATCTGAACTATACAATGCATAAAAAAATCGATATAAACGATTATACATTCTAGGGATGTAACGGTACACAAACATGACTGTTCGGTACGTACCTTGGTTTTGACGTCACTGTTCGGTATGGTTTCGGTACAGCAGGGTGAAAAAACTAAAAATAAAATTGCTTGCTCTTTGGCTCTTTCTTTAAATAAATTTAATTACAATTAAAATTTTCTTAGGGATAAAAATGTACCTCTAAACTATAGGTAGCTCTCTTACATTATTTATTATAAGGTTACAGTTAACAACAGAGCCCAAACTTGAATTCAATTACTATTTATTTTTATAGAATAATCAACGCTCAAATTAAAAAATTGTATGCAAACATGTAAATTGCACATAATGCAGTTTTTAAATTAACTTCTAAATTATAGCCTACAATTTCTATTTGTTGTTGAAATATAATCATTTACACAGTGCCTCACATAACATGTTTCATAACAGATTTATTTAAACATATATTAAATAAGACATATCTAGCAGGTAAAGTAAACTATAATGAGTATATAGTCTAACATTTCGCGAAATGCTCTTCTCTAGACTTCATTTATAGTGCACTAACGAGCTGTGGACACTGATGATTGAATGAGGTAAATTAAATGCTACGTTACATTTTGTTTACAAACTGTTTTATTGCCGTCTTTCCGCGGTTGAAACACTGATTGAGCGATTACATGAGGCTTGAGATGTTCATTCATGTTTATTTCGCGTTAAAACTAGTAGTAAAGAGGAAGAGATGATCGCGCTGCCGTTTGAACCGTTTATACAGCGATCTATCACGCCACACCAAAACCGCATTTATTGTTTGAATTTCCTGAAAAAACATAATTTGAAAGATGAGACTTTGTTTCTTATCAAAAGTAACAATATAACTGGAAGTTTCCAATGAAGTTCCGCTCGTCCAGTGGTTAAAACAAAGCTGTATTTGTTCGGTACACATGCGTACCGAAAATTTTTAGTACTAATACATGTACCGTTACACCCCTAATACATTCACATTACCTCTGATGCGTGTGTTTTCGATTAAACTCACATGTCAGGGCAAAATACTGAATCGAGTTCTCTGTCGCTTCTTTTTGTGCTCAAACAAACAAATACAAAATTATGTATCAGTAATATTGGATCCGTGCATTTTGTCTTAAAGTGACAACAGACTAATAAACTTGCTACTGTTTGTAGACAAAGAACAAAATCTTTCACTGCTCTTGACTGAATAAGTTTAGTATCTTTAATAAAGATGTATCTGTTTAACTGATAGAGTTACAAGACTGTGCAGATTACATTCGATTACTTTATTCATTTTCTGTACCTGAAAACTTCTGTTAGACCTGCCTGAAAAATCTGAAAAGTGTTTGTTTAATTGTATTTATTTGTGTGTTTGCTTGTAATTTGTTTATCTGTAGAAAGTTTCTTAGCATTGAGCTGAGCCCTGCATGTGCCCCAGACTGCGACTTACCAGTGGCAGCCTAAATAAATAAATATAACTTTTAGCAGCTTTATTTTTGTCATTTTTTATATTTATTTTTCTACATGTGCATATTTTTTCTAAAACATTTTTTGTTTTACTAGTGAGGATTTTCACTTGATTTTACACATTGCATTTTTTTTAGCACAGACATCTGAAAGACTTTCTTGACTGCTGTCACGTCATATTTTTTTCCAATTATTTATTTTTCTTTATTATTAAAAATAAAAAGTGTTTTTTTTTGTGGATGTCCACAAATTGTGGTACATGATGTGCAATTTTCAGATAAATGTTCATGTTCGATATTTTGGTTGCATTTGTGAGTTAATAAAAACGTAAATGGTTGTGTAAAATATGCACGTAATATCATAATATTGATCGATATACCCCTGAATCGAATCTTATTGCAGAATTTTTTGAGGTATTGTATCGCTGGCTATGATAATTGATATCAGATCGTATCGTGATGAACCATCCAAATTAACACCCCTACACATGTTCTTAAAAGGCTTCATGAGATTCACTCAAGATTCGCCATCGTGTGACATAGAAATGTGCCATTCACCTAAAATAAGTCATACGATGAAAGGGATGAGCCAAAGTGGGGCCCGATTAAAGAGAAATGTCGCCCGGCTAATGCTCCGCTGTTTATTGGCATCACCCAGCAGCTGTCCGCGAGCTTTTAATTAGCTTTAACAACCGTTTCGATTCCATTAGTGGATGCATCAAGCAACTCATTTTCAGATGTGTCTGCAGGAGGCTGTTAATGCCTCTTTGCCCATCAGTGCACTCAGGAACCAAGAAAAACACTTGGCGTGCTCACATCAACCTTTCCTTTTTTCTGCTTGTTCTCCAGATAACCAATGTGATGGTGCCCTTCATGTTTAAATATGCGGTGGACGGCCTGAACCAGATGTCGGGACACATGTTAAACCTGAACGACGCACCAAACACGGTGGCTACCATGGCAACGGCTGTTTTGATTGGCTGTGAGTCATGCTTGCTCCTGTCTTGGCAGGTGTTTGACTTCATTTTGGGAAGCGTGCTGCATATTAAGCGCCAACTGACCTTTCCCCAAAAGTTTTGTCAATATTGCTTTTTAGACTCATTGTAATGTGTTTTGTCATGCATGCATCTGCTCTAGGTTTGTGTTTCATATGCTCGTCACTTTGACAGCATTGACCTCAAATTCCTGGCTAAAACATACCACTGTATTAGCAGAGAGAAAAGATTATTCACCACAATGGTTTCTTAAACAATTACCCATCATCAGGAGAATGACCCAAAACACCCTGCTAGCTCAGTCAAGGAGTTTATCAGGACAAAGAAACGGAAGGTCTTAGATTGGCCAAGTCCGTCTCTAGATTTAAATCCTACTGAATTAGGGGTGTGCGATATATATCGTCTGCGATAATATCGTAATTGTTGTTTTAACGATGTGCGATTTGACATTATCGAGTATTTTGCAAAAACCATTCAAAACATCCCTACAGAGCGCACGCATACATTAC